AGGAGAGTAGCATAAAAAAAAAATTTTATTCTCTAACCAAACACTAGAAAATATTTTCCGGAAAAAGGATTTCACTCACCAACCAAACAAGGGAAAATAAGTGATAAAATCACTCATTTTCCATGAAAACATTTTCCTTCATACCAAACACACCCTAAAATGAGATGGAAATGCTGTAACGTAAGTAAGGATCTCTCTCTTTAATCCCAACGAAAAAGCAACAGTGAATAAATTTTCAATTGATTTTCTGTGGTGTTTGCAACTCTATCAATCGAATGTACAGGGAATTTCCCTTAACTCTTTGACGGATGGTCCATTGCCAAATAAACAATTTATTTCTTATGGCAAGAACCTTGCTTGATAATCTGGAAGTATCTGGCATCATTAGCTGGAAGTTGATATTGGGGAGGGCTATGGTATCATTTTCGTACCGTTCTAAGGCAATATGCTATCACTATCCGAGTGCCTAGAATTTTGTAATCGTTGAAAGTATGATCCTTAATTTTCGTGTACTTATCCTACCATCTTGTGTGCTTATCTTCTTTTGTTAGATGTTGGATGGGGTTTGAGAGGGGAAAGGGGAAGGGGAGGAGAGGATGCTGAACTTATGTGGACGTAATCCTTTCAACTAAAAAATATTGCAAGAGATTGTTACAGGCCTGCATGAGAGATTTTGTTGATATCTCTGTGTTCTATATACTATCATTTCAGTATCTAAGTGCTATTAGGAGATGGAAAGTTTTTGTTAAACTGTCATTTCTTTTGCAGGGAGAGTTACTCCAGAAAGTGTTGTTTTCAGTTTTGGGACAGTCCTCTTGGACCTCCTAAGTGGAAAGCATATCCCTCCTGGTCATGTAAGTTTCTAAATTCCTTTCATGTTTGATGAGTAAGTTAAAAACATTCCTGTAATGTTATGTCGGTGGTCCTACCGCACGACCCATTTAGACTTCTCTAGTTCTCTTTTATGAAAGAAAAGAAAACATGTTAGAGAGAAGATTGTTGTTTGAGGGCTTTTGTGGGACCTTGAGGTTCAAATATCAGAGAAGTATTTGGGCTAAGACCACAGATGGGTACTGATTTCGAGAATGAAAGATTTATGGGAAGAAATAGGCATAGGGCTGTTTGGTACCTGTGAACAGTGAAGTGAATAATACACTGGGAACTCAACCGGAATTGCCTAGGAACAACTGCCTGAGGTGATGCTTCATGAACACTCAAGAAACAACAAAAGGCCTCAAAAAATTCAACGTGAAGTCTTTCACCAACATTAAACTGAAATGTTATATGGTTACTTGCGAGCTACCAGCTTCGGGATCCCAGTGGGATTACACAAAATGGGTAAATATTTAATAAGTTACCTAAGGAGTCATCAGGGAAAATTCACTTCAGAGTGAGTTAGCCAAACCAACATTACCAAAATGACTTTGACTGTAGTACCTGGCAGCAATATAAAATCAAAATTGTAACTTAAAGTGAACCTAACTAAAACATTCTTTACGGTTTTCCTGAATAGAAAGAAGGATCTTTTATTTCCCTCTCTTGTCAAGAATTCCAGGCTGCCAAGAAACTGTCCAGGCCCCTCTTCTTCTAGCCACTATTGCTAGGCATACTCCCTAATCAACTTATGCATCCAAAGTGTAGTGCAAAAATCTATCGCAGCTCTCTCATGTACTCGGTAATGGACAAAATGCACAAATCACAGCGGCTAGAAGAATCATAAGCTGCATGGAATTGTCAAAAGGATCAATGAGGATTGGGGGAATGACATCAGTGCTGCTCAATGCCCTTGTTGTTCTCCAGTAGAATGTTCGGGAGGAAAGGCGCAGTAATGCATACACCAACTAAGCCTAAATCCCAATCAGCAATATATATCCTCTATCTACTCCGCTCTGCTTGAACCTGTTCTTTTTTTAAAAATAGTTTTTTCACCACACCAATTACTGATGTAACATGTGCCTTGGAGAGCGCGTTCCAAATCATTCTTTATCTTCCTCTTCAATTTGTTTAGTTTTATGTTGGAATCAACTTAGCAGAATATCTTTACTCTTATCTGGGTGCGGTATCATCATGGAGTAAGCTGGTATTTATGATATTATTCCATTTTAAGGAAGTATATTAGATCATCTTGAATACCTAGTGTAGCATAATCATTGTGAGCGCACCTTTCCCATCCTTGGTGGGTAGGTTTATCCAACATCTGTGCTTGTGTGCTAAAGCAACTAGTCCTGTGGATTAGTTGTGGTATGCTCAAGTTGACACGGACACTCTGGTAAATTTTGTTTTTCAAAAAAGGAGGAAGAAAAAGTTAAGTAATACCAAGTAACATTCTTCTTTCTGCCACTTCACTTGAATAGGAATGGTCTTTTGGTTGCAGAAACCATCTCAGCTATTTGAATTGTTGGAGATAATCAAATTGTCTATATTATGGAAACATGGTGATATATATATCGAACTATTATACCAAATCATTGATGTATCTTTTCCTTTTTCATTTTTGCGGCCCGTTCCCCAAAATAATAAGCTAACTTTAGAATATACATTGGCCTTGTGACTCATTAAAAATATTACCGATCTTTGTGACAGGCCTTTTGATCTGACTTGGCTTTCTTACTTTTATATTGATCAATGAAAAGGATCTATATGGTGCGTGGAATTTCATGTGTCTCTAGTTACCTTCACCTTAACTTGCCCATTTCCATGCAAATGCTGTTACAACTAATCACGGACAAGGCATGTAATTTTTACAAGTTTGGACAAATATCCCCCCCCCCTCCCAACCAAACCAACAAAATAATCATTTGGCTCTTTGGAGATTCTCAATTTTATTCGAGATCTATGTGGTCTTTGGTGCTCTAAAACATTTATTTGCTTCCATTCCTTGGGAACTTGGCTATCCATCTGGTGAAATTGGGATATTAGAGGTTTCATACTGAGTTCTGACTCCCTTTTTTGAGGTTAAGATTATTGAAACCTCATTTACATACTTACACCAATGTCTTCATATTCAGATACGGAGTAGAAGTACATGATTTATTAATTATTAGCTGGAGCTAGTGTTGTCTTTACAAAGAAAACATGGAAATAGTCTGCTGGAGGTTCTTGAAGTTGGATTACTGCATAAGTGGATAACTAAAACCGTTGTTATGTTTATAATAATTTAGGTTGCGCTGACTGGAATTCGCTAAAATCAAATTTACTCCAATGTGGGCTAGTGCCTGCCGTTTTTATCATGATCTTCCAGTGCTGGACAAAAATTTAGCAGGACACTTGCACATTAGACCAGGAAGAATAGGAGTTTGGAGTTGTATTAGATAAGCATGTTTCACCTTGGATTTTATCTACCTTCGCCTCATTCTTCTGAAATTAAAAAGAGCGAATACATATAATATTAACTTAGTCGTATAATATATGCCTTTGCCTTTTCCCCGAAGAGGAGCAATTCCATTTTGGCACAGGTGTCTAATCAGTATTTACTCTTCTCTCTCTGTTTTCTAATAAAAAACATATCTTGTTTTTGATTTCCAATTTGAGATTTATGTGCTTATTTCATACCTTTACATGTTAGGCACTTGATATGATCCGGGGCAAAAACATTCTTCTGTTAATGGATTCACATTTGGAGGGAAATTTCTCTACAGAAGAGGCAACTGTGGTTCTTGATCTGGCTTCAAGATGCTTGCAGTACGAACCTAGGGAGCGACCAAATATCAAAGATCTCGTTACAACACTCAGTCCATTACAAAGTAAACCTGAAGTTAGTCCTCTCTCTTTACTTTCTTATTTAGAACAAATCTTTTGGTATTTTTAAAAATAGGTTGTCTCAGTATTGTGATTTTGAATATTTGGCTTTGTTAAGAGTCATGCTGTCCTCTGAACTATGCACCATTGTTTACCAGCTAATTTACTTTTTTGTTCTCTGTGTGTTCACTAACTTCTCCTGCCTTCTCACTTGGAAAACCATGTTGAAAATAAAGAAGCTTATATTGCTGCTAAACTTGCTATTTTGGGTTTCAGCTAGCAGAACTACCAAAACTTATGGATATGGTCTTGCTTTTCTCGTTTCTCCTCAACCTCGAGATAGTCTTATCTTCTTGTCTCTTTTGCATTTATGCACATATGTTATTTTTCTTATGAATAGTAACTGTGACAAATAACATTACTGAAGGTTGAAAGTGTTCCCGACATCTGCTTTCAGGTTGCATCTCATGTGATGCTCGGAATTCCTAAGAATGAGGAAGCTCCTCCAACCCCACAGCACCCCCTTTCTGCCATGGGCGATGCTTGTTCAAGAATGGATCTCACAGCCATTCATCAAATTTTGGTGATGATACACTACAAAGATGACGAAGGGACAAATGAGGTAATTCTTCTGACAAGTATGTGACTCGAGAACTGTTTTTACTGTTCACTCTTTAAATTGATGAGGTGAACCAACTGATGTAGTTATCTTTCCAAGAATGGACCCAACAAATGAGGGATATGTTAGAGGCGAGAAAGCGTGGGGACTTGGCCTTTCGGGACAAGGAATTCAAGACGGCCATAGATTGTTATTCTCAGGTACATCTTTCTCAACAAAAGTTACCAAAATTTGGGGTCGAATGGAAGGTGGCATGCTTTCATTTGCATCCTCCAATTTTTAATGTATCCGAAGTTTGGAAAAAAAATTTCGATGCGTCAATTCAATTGACAATGCTCTCTTTACTCAACCATTCGACTGGAGAGACTTGGGCTTTTATCTCACATTTAAGTGACTTCTGTGCGCCTCATCCTGTATGGTACATGGTGTTCCATTCCAGGAGGGGTGGGGATGGTAGGTGTTGTGTGTCTTTCTCCGAAGTTTGAAAACCTTAGATGCTTCAAACCATTACCAGTGTCAATGCTCTCTTTAGTCAACCATTCAACTGGAGGAGCTTCTGTCTGGGGCTTTTATTTCAAATTTGAGTGACAACTGTGCACTTAATCCTATAAGGCACATAGTGTTGTTAATCAAGGTGGTAACTTGTTGTTAGGCGCGGTCATGTTACTCTGTGTAGCTCACTTGTCTATGCAATGAATGGACTCCATGTGCTGCTGATAATCTAGCATAACAGAAACCAACTTTTTGGGAAAAAATTAGTGTGTGCTGCTTATTTAGAGGGACAAATTTCTCACGTGTTTGATAGTTTACACCATAAGTTCTTTTCCAGTGTAGTTCATTGAGCAATATAGCTCGTGTCTTCTATTCTTATTGAGTCATGTAAGATTTAGCTCAGTTTTTATTCAATGGTGGTGTCCTGCTTAGCTTTTTTAATTTGGATAGCATGAACCAACTAAAGAATGCTTCATATTAAGAATATATGCTTGTTATATTCTTGTCTTAATTGCAGTTCATAGATGTCGGAACAATGGTATCACCAACTGTTTATGCTCGGAGAAGCCTTTGCTATCTTATGTGTGATCAACCCGATGCGGCCCTTAGAGACGCAATGCAAGCACAATGTGTCTACCCAGAATGGTCCACAGCATTTTACATGCAGGCAGTTGCCCTTTCCAAGTTAGACATGCACAAAGACGCAGCTGATATGTTGAATGAAGCTGCAACTCTAGAAGAAAAAAGGCAGCGAGGTGGAAGAGGATCTTGATACTGCCAAATCTGTATCATTCTTTTGTAACCCTGGTCCAATCAATTGTTTTTGTTTTCGCAAAATTAACTAAACTCCTGTATCATTTGGTTTGAGACTCAAGATTAATTTACTGACTCGGTAGTTTGTTCACTATAATTGGTGAAAATAATTAAAATAATTTCCAATGTGTACATTTGTATGTATAATATTTTTTACAACTTAGCATTGAAGATACATTGATGACTTATGAAATATATAGCTCGGCCTTGCCATCAATGAAAAGGCTCATGAACTCTTCACCGTCAACAGTTTCTTTCTCAATCAGCAGTTGAGCAAGTTTGTGTAGGATGTCAATGTGAGTTGTGATTATTTGCGTTGCCCTCGCGTATGCTTTATCCACCAATTCCCTTACTTCAGCATCAACAATGTCGGCTGTAGCCATGGAATAGTCTTTCTGGGTTGACATCTTTTATGTAACAAATCCAAATAAAGGCATGGTTAGTTAACAACACTCTTTAGTGCACTGAAACAATTTATGACAGATAAGTTTGAAAGAAAATGAGTACCTGCTGGCCCAAGAAAGGGTTCCCTCCACCTCCACCAATGGCAACTTGGCCAATCTTTTTGCTGAAACCAAGCCTCTCAACCATCTGTCTCGCCACTCGTGAAACTTGCATGAAATCATTAGATGCCCCAGTTGTAACATTGTCTTGTCCAAAAATGACCTCCTCAGCAACTCTGCAAAAGCAAACAAAGTCAGGAAGTAAGAATAGAATAGATAGACAGATAAAAAGAATAGTACAAAGGGAAAAGAAACTTTCCAATATGAGATTCATAAGCATGCTATTATAAACTGACCTTCCACCAAGTGCAACTGCCATCTGATTCTCCAGGTAGCTCCTGCTGTAGAGGCCAGACTCAAGTCTCTCTTCACTTGGGGCAAAGAAGGTAAGACCACCAGCTTGGCCACGTGGAATTATAGAGATTTTGGCAACAGGATCGTACTCCGGCATGAGTGCACCAACCAAAGCATGACCAGCCTCTGTAATCCAAATGTACACGTTATTTAGAATAATTGTTGTATAAATAGTTCATGAAAAAGGGTTGACTGACAGGTAGTGTTTTCGTACCATGGTAAGCAACCAGCTTCTTCTTCTCATCTGAGACAACAGCGTTTTTCTTTTCTGGCCCAGCAATTATTCTTTCCAGAGCATCAGATATCTCATCCTTGCTTATTTCCTTAAGGTCACGCCTAGCTGCCAGGATGGCTGCTTCATTCATCAAGTTCTGCAAATCTGCACCAGTGAAACCTGGTGTTCTCCTAGCAATCTTATCAAAGTCTACATCCTTTGCAAGGGCCTTTCCTCTAGAGTGGACCTGTCAAGAAAGGGGTATCAGTAGGTAAGACAAAGAATAGGCAAGAAATAAGTATATGATTTTGCAAAAGGAAAAGGTACAAATTTGCCATGCACTATCCGAAATTGCTCAATTTTGCCCTATGTTATACTTTTAGTTCATTCATACAAACCATCTCATATTGTCCCTTGCCATGAGCTCCATCGTGAAATGGATGGACTCCACGTGTCCAAATTCTCTGAGAAAAATGTTCCTCTACTTTCGAGTTTCGACTATTGTTTAAAATTACCTTCAGCTTGGAGCTCCGTTAGGGGTCCGCAGTAAATGATACTTTCCTCATGGCGGGGGTAAGATTAGACCAAATGTTTAACGGAGGGAAAAGTTGCTCAATCGGATAGTATAGAGGCAAATTGACCCTTTACCCTTTTGCAATTCGGGGAATAGACAGGAATATTTCATGCTAGTGACTTCTACAATCAGCTATGTTTTTTTAAAATGGCATGTGCATTTTCTATTTCGAAATTATACATCTTTCGGCTGCAACTCTCTTTTTGTTCTTTTACTAATTTTCCTAATAATAAACCTGCACGTACAGAGCTGGATATCTAATTGTTCTTTTCTACAACAACAACAACAAACCCAGTGTATTCCCACAAGTGGGGTATGGGGAGGGTAGTGTGTATGCAGACCTTACCCCTACCTTTAAAAAGGCAGAGAGCCTGTTTCCGGTAGACCCTCGGCTTAGGACTAATTGTTCTTTTCTGCAGATGTTAAAACATGTAGAAAAAAGGTGAATCACACATATACACCATCAAATGCATGTAGAATGTAGTTAGTCCATATTGCTCAAGAACAACTGCAGAATATCTGGACAAACATTCATATTCAGATTGCCATTATACTAGGTGAGATTCAAGTTACAGACTACAAAGAGTAAACAATATATAAGTGTTAGAAGTTCACTAACCTGAAGAATCCTGACTCTACCAGCAACATCAGGTCTGTCAACGGTCACTTGTCGATCAAACCTCCCAGGCCTCAACAAGGCAGAATCAAGAACATCTGGTCTATTTGTTGCAGCCAAAACAATAACTCCAGAATTTCCAGAAAACCCATCCATTTCTGTCAACAGTTGATTAATAGTCTGCTCCCTCTCATCATTTCCACCTCCAAGCCCTGCCCCTCTTTGCCTTCCAACAGCATCAATCTCATCAATAAACACAATACAAGGCGCTTTCGACTTCGCCTTCTCAAACAAATCCCTTACTCTAGAAGCTCCCACACCGACAAACAACTCAACAAACTCTGATGCTGCACATGAGAAAAATGGCACACCTGCCTCACCAGCTACTGCTCTAGCCAAAAGTGTCTTACCAGTGCCAGGTGGTCCCACTAAAAGACACCCTTTTGGTATCTTAGCACCTAAAGCAGTATATTTATCAGGATTTTTCAAGAAATCAACAACTTCTTGCAACTCCAACTTGGCCTGATCAGCACCAGCAACATCAGCAAATGTCACTCCAGTTTCAGGCACTTCTTGAAACTTTGACTTCGACCGGCCAAAATCCATTGGCCCGCCAAGCCCGCCAGCCCCACCAGACCCGCCCTGAGCCCGCCGGAACAGGAAAAACAAACCAGCAAAAGCAAGTATGGGAAATAACAAATTCCCAATAACACTAAACAAGCCATTACCACCTTCACCTTCAGAAACAGATATATCAACACCATTCATAGCTAAGATATCAATCAAATCAGGATCATTAGGCACAATTACATTGGCTCTACGGCCATCTACTGCAGTAAGCTGTAAAACAGTTCCATCTTTACTAAATCTAACCCTTTCAACTTTACCCTTTTTCACTGCATTCAAGAACTCACTGTACCTCCACTGAGAACCATCTGGAATGTCAGAGGATGACTGAGCAGCTTGTGGTTTTGGGGCATTCAAGATTAGATTTTGTGAAAAAGGAGATGGATTTAAAGGGTTGGGTTTAGGTGTTTCAGCTTGAACCACTGAAGGGGGTGGAGCTGTTGGTGTTGTGTTGTCAAGAGCAAAGGCTTGCGGAGTTATTGAAGAGAAAAAGAGAGCTGCTAAAGCAGCTTCAGAAGGAAAATTCTTTACTTTATCTGAATTGGGTTTTTTGTTGAGAATTGATTGTGGGACTGGGAAAAACTTTCTTTTGGGGTATAAATGAGAAATCTTTGTGGTTTTGGGGGTGGGAGGAGAAACAAAGATTTGGGATCCAAAGAAGTTGGAAGAGAGCAAGGAATTGGCCATTGAAGAAGCCATAATTAGTTGGGGAAAAAGCTTTGATTAGGTTTCAGTTATATATGGGGTTGGGGAAACGATATTTTGAGTTTTTTTTTTCTTGCAATTATCGGGGTTAAAAGAACCCAATGATAGTGTAGAAATAGTGAAGATTGATGGAGGTTTTTAAGTTGGTTTTTGGTTCTAGTTTGAATCTTGAATAGAAGCCATATACTTGGATGTAGCTTGGATTGCTTTACGTGTTCTGAATGTTATCCAGTCACTTGTTTGATTTTTATGACTTATAACTGGGAAAATTGGAAGGCGCGGAGCCCGCAGAAGTGTACTCGAATTAGCTACTCTCACTTTCATTTTATGAGACTGAATTTGAGTTGACACGTAGACATAGGTAAAATATCTCTCTCTCTATATATATATAAAAGAAGGTTTTGACAAGATAATGTGTCTCTCTCTTCTTATATGGTAGGAAACCTATTTATTTTTTTCTTATTTTTTTGACTTTTTCCTTTCATTTTAACCATTTATTTTAATTTAAAAAATTTATATCCATAACTCACACCTCTTCATTCATTGTGATTTTTCAAGTTGATAACCTTCAATTATTTAATTTGTTATAAATTACATCTTGGATTGTGACTTTTTGAATCCGTAATCCCTATTTGCTTAATGTGTTATAAATTGCATCTTTTTTTCCTTTTTTTACTCACTCATCGTCAACTCTGCATCACACTTTAGTTTTATTTTTGTTGATGAAGAAATAAGTTCTCTTCCTCCATTATTATTTTTTGGGTATTTTTTTACTCTCCTCTCCGATTTTTATTTTCTGCTGCTTGAATTTTCTTTACTGAGTTGCTTTGTGCGTATGAAAAACATTACTACTAAATAGAAATTTATAGTAGAGAGTAGCGGAATCAAAAGTTATGTGTGCGGAAGAAAAAAATTGGTCCTACAAGGTCAATATGCCAGCAATAGTTTTATTGCCTCAGCATCAATCTCTGACACCCTATCAATGTGGCTGACTTTATATTTCAAGTTTTTTGTTTTGTTAACGGAGAGGTAGTTCTCACTTTTTGATTACTTACTTGGTTTGTAGTTATTTTGAATTTTTCACTTCTTTAATTTGTAACATTTTGCTTTATGGGTTGTAATGTTTTGGATTTTTATCTTCTTTTCTTTTGTGTCGGTAGATGCACTCAAAGATAGATCTGAGACTAACAAATATGCGATTTATTCTTATTACCCATTACTCTATATTTCTTTCCTCTCTTTTTTTTTTTCCAATTAAAATTTTGTTTTTTATGCTTATTAGCATGTTAGTTTTACTTTTTAGATACTCATATTGTCAATGTCATTGCCTAGCTAATTGGGAAACAAACATTTATAACTAAGTGTAGAACTTAATGTTAATGCCTTTATTTTACATATATAAAAAGTTTTTTCTTTTATATTTTTCTTCTTTAAATATACAAATTTATACTTGTATATGGTCACTGCTTTTCCTTTTTTTCCTTTAAATTGTTACAGTAAGGTATTTTTTTGGTGGGAAGTACTAATTATCTG